CTGCGAAACCTTAGCGAACTTTGCTTATAGAAACATCGAAGACTTTGGTAGGTATAAAGCGTTGTAGTTAGAAACAGAATGTCTTTCAGAGGGAAAGGAAACGCTTTTCAAGTATGTGAAGAAAGACTCTGCGGAAGTTAACATCATGAGGTCAATAATGATATGTTACAGTCATAGGTGGGGTTATTGGGCTTAGAGCTCACAAGTATCATCAGATCGGAAAGTAACAAGGAATATACACATCATTTGAGAAAATGGAAGACTGAGTCTCATTGGTTTCTAAATAATTTCAGTTCTGAAAAACGGAATAGGAAGTTCATATCTCTAGGGAAAGGAAGTAAGAATGTGAATCAGAAAAGGATTAAATAAGTTTCAGTATGGTAAGTTAGAGTTTGCAGCTCTGAGAATACGAGCTCTATAGCGACCAATATAACATTCTGGTGACACTACCGCAAATAATCGATCTAACACATCTTCGACTGTCGACCCCGCTTCTGCTTCGCGGTCAATAGGTTCGTTGTCTATAGAAGAAAATTAAAGAAATAAATCAAAGGACCTACTCGTATTAGTGATGAAAGTCATTCTACACGTCGCTCTCACTAGTTTTTTCAGTCTAGCCAAGATTGTGAGTGTGGCTGACCTCTGAAAACGAAAACTTTCAACGAAAAATTCATTGTTCCGTTCGATTTGGATAGTAGAGACATAGAGGAATGAGTTTAAAATTTAGAGTCAGATGTGAGTCCTCCAAGAGAAACCTCATCTTAAAAACCTTTATCCCTTAACATCTTATCTGTTTCAACTATGTGCTGATCAAGCCTTGCTTGTACTGGATGAACTCTGTTATGGCTATGTAAAACCTTCTCTTATAATGAACGTTCATATATACACATTGTGACTAGTATCGCATTTCCACCACTCACGTACCGCTGTACATGATCGGTCATCCCTAGAATTGTCCCCTACCCCTGAGTGTAGTATCATTCAATGAAACGGCTCTTTAGTTACAAATCCGAAACAAACCTCATTAACGTCAGGTGTTAGTAGTCTTGGGTTTAGATGGCCATCTTCTAAAACATAAACATTCAGACAGTTTTCATTGTATATATGTTATATACAAGATCTTAAAAAAAAGAAAAGATGCAAACCTGAGTTGTTAATGATTATGGTTTGGATTTGATCAATACTTTCCATTAGGGCTCGGTTATATAACTCCATCGTATCTAGATCCAGTCCACGAATATATCTAAATTGAATATTTAGCATAATAAATAAAATGTTTTCACTTCACGAAAATGAAACCACTGACTTCACTGTGTTGTCTTTTTAACCTTTCAACGCGAGTCTGAAAGAAGATTTCGAATGATTATAGATTATACATTCGAAAACTGTAGAATTTAACTCTAACTCACTGTGAAGAGTGGTTGAGGCATGACTAGAATAAACGATCTGTAAAAATGAAGGTGAATACATACGAAATTTATGAAAAAATCATAATTAACATGAAAGTTAGGTTGTTTGTAGTTGACCTTCCTCTGCGTCTCAGCTCACAGACGCGACACTCTCATCACTCTTCTACATAGCAGACTTTCTCCTGCGCAAGCAATTCAAAAAATGAAATGAGCTGGTTGCGGCAGAACTGCTACGTGAGATTATTCAAATCTGGAACAATCGAGTGACCTCATCACACTATGTTCAAGATAATGAAGCCACTTATCACTGATAATCATTGGATAGCTGGGAACGCCACCCAGAAAAGAAAAAAGATCCATGCCACTCAGTAATCTTCGATGTTGGTGTGAGAGCAAGGAATGAGAAGGTCTAAGTCTAAAACTTTATTTTGAAATTTACAATATTTACAAGTAGTGAGTGGTATGAAAGTCTAGAGATGGAATGTGAAAGATAGTATGAAGTACCAGCAAATATAAATAAGTATATTGGAATATGAGAGATCAAACAGGCTATTCTTACAGAGGATCATAATCCTGGTCATCTTGAACTATAGGTCCACCTA